TAGATTAAAAAAGAAAGAAAATTAATTCTATAAAAACATAGAAAAAATTTTATTTTTATTTTAAAAGTTTTTAAATAGAGACATACACCAGTCCCAAATCGACTGCGTATCAATGTGACTTCATATCAGTCCGAGTGATTACTAGTTCCATGGGGCATCAATATCTATAGTGCCCGTCCGATCGCATCTCTATTCTGACTGAGCAATAATCCGACTGAAACTGGGACTCTGCACTAATAAAATTATTTATTATCTTTTTATATCGTGGACAAAAACTTCTTAGAAGTTCATTTTGTATTATATTCAAATATTGAAGCAGTTTTATTTTTAATTTTATTCAAAAAATTTTCAGATTACATTTAATAAATGACACATCGCTATTCTTCAAGTTCGTCACGACCGAATGTTAATTTCGGTACTACAGTTTCAAATAGTCAGTATTCACTTTTTCTTCTAATTCAATTATTTATTTTTTTTTTCATACAGATTCAGAATTCAACAGGCAACATTCAATATTATCTTATCATATCAAAGAGACTCATGTTTCTATTGTCGATCCGATTCATGATAATACACCAACAAATGAACAAAGAGTAATAAGATCATTTTGTTGTGTTCTTTTTTTTGACTATGTTATATATTCTTTTATTTAGAAGGAAATCAGATCATCATTAAAAACTCCAATTACTTACAATGATGATTTCATTCCTAGTAAGACAATTATTTTTAATTTCTATGAAATTCTTCATGACGAATTTTGCTTTTTTTTTTCTCTCCTCTAGTCGATGATTTTTCTAATGGTTTTACATATGAATCACATTTAGGTCGCTTTTGTAAGAATGTTATTGTTGTTTCAGCAAGACATCCACATAGTTTCTTCTTACAAACAATCGATGATCTTACTTATAGTGATAATTTTTTTTCAAAAATGAAGTATATATTTATATTTCATCTTTTCTATTCAAAAACAAAAAATGTCTAATAATCATATTTTATCATATGTATTTTTTTAGTGAATTTTACA